CTAAGTTGTTATTGAGCTAGGAGAATATATGCGTTTTACTTAACTGAAGTTGTTGTCTTATTAGTCTTTTATCTATAGTTGTATTATCTGTTTTTAAAGAAAAATCACAATGTGCATGAACAGTCCGGATGAGTTTTGTCTTGTTTGTGGAGAATTCGTATTAACAAGGAACCGTAAAATTTTTACTGATCATTACAAAAATATATACAACTGTTGCTATCCAAATACTATGACTAATTTTCAAAAGACTTGAATCCCAAAAACTTTATGCGCTTATTGTGCCACATTACTTAGTAAATGGCAAAATGGAGATAAAACAAAGAAACGCTTCAGTTCCCCTATGATCTGGCGGAAATTTAAGAATTATACAAATGATTGCTATTTTTGCTTAGTTTCTATATTAGGATTTAATGCAAAAAACAGATCAAATATTTCATATCCATCGGTCACTTCTGTTACTATGCCAATTCGAGAAAACATTTTAGAATTCTTTGTTGACAGAAGCGTAGAGGATAATAGTAATGAATACATGGAAGAAAATGAAGAAATTTTAAAACCTCGTATGTCAACAAATAATGCAGATGATCTTGAAGAAGTTGACAAAGAAAATGAAAAAAATTCTAAAATGTTTAATTAACCAGAACTTAATGATCTAATCAGAGATTTGGGACTCTCAAAAGAAAACTCTGAACTTCTCGCATCTAGGCTAAAAGAAAAAGGACTTCTTACAAAAGATGCTAAGGTATTTTTTTTTAGAAACAGAGATGAACCTTTTAGGCCTTATTTTTCTCATGAAGACTCATTAGTTTTTTGTAATAATATTGAAGGTTTAGTGTCTCAGTTTAATTGCATCAATTACAATCCTAATGATTGGCGATTGTTTCTTGATTCATCCACACAAAGTTTTAAAGCAGTTTTATTGCACAATGGAAATGTGTATGCATCTCTTCCCGTAGCATACTCTAGAAGTTTAGAGGAGCGCTATGATGGTCTTAAACTGTTGCTGACTAAACTTGAGTATGATAAACATAAGTGGCAAATATGCGGTGACCTAAAGATCATAACAATTTTACTTGGTCAACAGAGTGGATTTGTTAAGTTTCCTTGTTTTTTGTGTGAATGGGACAGTCGTAATCGTACTAACCACTACATAATAAAAGTTTGGAAAGCTCGTCAAACTTTGACTCCAGGTTCTAAGAATATATTACATGATCCATTAGTAATCACTACAAAGATACTTTTACTACCTTTGCACATTAAACTTAGGCTCACTAAGCAATTTATTAAAGCCATGAGATCAAATAATAGTTATGCCTTCAACTACCTCTTTATCAAGTTCCGAATCTATCACAAGCAAAAATTTCTAGATGGACCTCAAATAAGGGTTCTTATAAATGACAAAGAGTTTCAAAACAAAATGACAACACTTAAACTTGCTGTATGGAAAGGTTTTAAAAATGTCGTCTCAAAATTTTTGGGCAACAATAAAGATCCGAATTATAAACAATATGTTGAGCAAATGTTAACCGCCTACCAAAAATTGGGATGCTTGATGAACTCGAAAATTCATTACCTCCATTCACATCTTGATTTTTTTCCGGAGAATCTTGGCGCCTTCAGTGAGGAGCAAGGTGAAAGATTTCATCAAGACATCAAAACAATGGAACAAAGATACCAGGGTGTCTGAAATATAAATATGATGGCCGATCACTGTTGGAACCTCAAACGTGATACTGAAATATCACATAAACGAAAACCCAATCGCAGATCATTTGAAACAAAAAAAACACGTTATTCTGAAAAGAAAGGATAAGCATTGAGAAAATAATGCAAAGCAAATTTCGTGAGAGGCAAGGGGACTCACGCTAAATAAGCACCCCATCGTGAGAGGCAAGGGGACTCGTATATCCCTTGATCAACTTCACCCCCTGATTAACCCACTCGTATACCCCCTGATAAACCCCACTCGTATACTCCTGACCAACTCCACTAGTATACCCCCCTGATCCGCCTTAGGTTAATCAGAGGGTATACAAGTGGGGTTGGTCAGGGGTATACGAGTGGATATATAAGTTCAGGTATGAATATATGCGAAAATCGGCGATTTTTTACTATTTGTTCAATTTTACTACAAAACCTGACGTGCTGGCTCGATTCTGTGTATGGATTCGTGTTCAGCAACCCCAAAAACGTAAAGTATACCCATTAGGATCTCAGTAGACTCTTAAAAATATTTTGTGGTCCTGTGTTATCAACATGACATACCAAATGAGGGTTCTGAATAGACCAATAATGACTATTATGGCGATTAAGTTGCCCATGACTATGAAATGTAGCTTCGTCCAAAAACATTACGTACCTGAAAAATTCAGGATCTTCATGAATCCTTGCTTGTGCCCAATTACAGAATTTGAGTCTGCGGCAGAGATCATCTAGCATCAAAGCTTGAGTCAAAGTTATGTGATACAGATGAAATCTATGAAGCCGTAAAATTCTACTGGCTGTTGTTCTTGGGATTCCTGTACTTCTCTGAATTTCACGCAAAGAGATATGATGATCCAAATCAACCATTGCCAAAACAATGAGAATTCGTGGATCATCGTTGATCTGTCTCATAATGCGACGACGATTTCTGCGTATTCCTGGTCGACGTCTCTCTCTTCGTTCAATGATTCGGATTCTCACGTGGTTTGGGTACCGAAGCCTCTCTGGGTAATTTTGACGGTCAAGGCCGATATCGTGCTGCAGCAAGATATTACCGTCTAGTTATTGGGTTGGGGCAAGATATTACCAGCAAGTTATTGAGTTATTACAATTAATCTTACCCTTGCCCGATCATCCCTGTGTATAGATGAAGAAAATAATAAATTTGACCTCTACATGACCTTACGTGGGGGGGGGGGGGCTAACTGCACCCCACACATAATACCTTATCTGAACGTAGAATTTCTCGCTCTTTCTGAGTCTGGGATCAAAATTATAGGTTCTTATTAAAAAAATGACTTTGACCTTCAAATGACCTTGGACATAAATCTCAAGGTCAAATCCGATTTCTGGGAAAGGTATCCCTCATTGTCCCAACAACTCTTGTCTGAACAATTTTTTTTCAGAACGCCAACCGTAAAAAATTTCGGGGGGTTCCTTTGAAATGGGACACCCTGTATAACGGAGTTAGTTGGGTCAAATGGATGGATAAGAAACCTGTTCATTTCTTATCTAATTTTTATGATGCTTCTAAAATTTCTGAAGCCAACCAAAGGCAATAAGATGGACCTTTGAAACAAGTAACTTGTCCACAAATGGTGGTCATAGACTATAATGGTTTTATGGGTTGCATTGATAAAGCCGATATGCTCAAGTCATATTATGAAAGTAACAGGAAAAGTAAAAAGTGGTGACAACGCATTTTCTGGCACTTGGTGGATGTTACATTGGTGAATTCCTTTATAATTTACTCTCAACTTTTTCCAGAGAAAAACATGAAACTTAAAGACTTCCGATTGTCAGTCGTAGATTCCTTAATAAAAATTTCTAACCGTGCAAAAAGTCTAACTACCCACCAAATCTCTAATGAGCTATCAGAAGTCATTACATATTAGTGACTCCGTAAGAATGGCAAAAGTTGATCATTTACCAGTTGCATGAAAAGAACATCCTAGATATCGCCTTTGTAGTACTAAAGAGATTCAACAATTGACTCAATTCTACTATACAACTTGCAAATGTGGATTATGCATAAATGCAGATCGAAATTATTTCCAGAAATTTCATCAGCAATAACAATGAATTTAAAGATGTAATCTTATAGGATAAGCGTTGTTCTGGAAAAGAGAAAAAAATATTAGAAAATAAAAAGAAAATTTTTAGAAGTGAAAAAAAATTAAAAAAATTAAACAAGATCGCTCTCATGCCCACGTCGTTTCTTCCGGGTCACACAAAGAGAGGAAAACTGAAAAGGTTTTTTTGTGGAATCAGCAATCTTCGATCCGATTCAATTTGTGAGAATATGATCTTCAATATTGAATTCGCTATCTCAATTCCGTCATATCAAATTTGCTTCCTTGAACTGTGACATTTTAATCTCTAGATCCCTCAAAAACTTGCTGATTTGAAATGTCGTGACCACCATATTGGATCTGCCACCTTAAATTTCGGAATTTCGCCATTTTGAATATAGAAATTCTGATTTCAAATTCATGATAAGCGACCCGAAAACCTCTATATACCTATTCCCAAGTGAATTACTCAGCAAATCGCAATTCTAACCTAAAATAGATGCTATATTGGTTTCGCCATTTTGAATTTCAAAAATTGGACTCCAGATTCGTAATCAGCGACCCCGAATGCCCAAGTATACAAATTTTAATTCATATTAGTTTCAGTTTAAAAATTATGTCCGCCATATTAAATTTTGAAAATCACACTTCAGATTCGTAATCAGCGGCCCCGAAAACCTTTATGTACACTTTCTGGTTCGGGATAAGTGCAGCAGAAAAAGGTGCCTCTAAAAAAGTTAACAGTATTGCTATAACAGTAAACTTCATATGACGATATCTTGAACAAAATAGAAGATATTCTAAACTTAAAAAAAGGGTTTAGAGAGAAAGAATGCTCCTTTAAGATAGAGTACTTAGTTTTCTAAAAAAAAGATATATTCATGATGTACCTTAAAAACAGCAAAAAACAGCATTTTTTGCCCTTATAGATTAGGATAATTAAAAAACTTTATGTGATAGAGTAATTCTAAGATCAGATTTGAATTCAGTGACTTAAAATTTACCCGAAATAAGTACTCTTATCTAACGAGCAAGTTTCATGTCGGGCTGTATAATCTGTCTCACTTATTAAGATAATAAGTAAATGTTATTGCTAATAGACACACACACGCACACATACACACACACACACACACACACACACATATGTAATAAACAGCAGTATACTCCAGTAAGAGTACTGTCTTCGTTTTACAGTATGATTGAAATAATTATTTTATTTACTTGCGCATTCATTAGTTTATGTTTCTTTAGTCTGGTGTTGGTGATGGGTTCGGATGTCTTGACAAGTTTGTTTGGGTGATTTTGAAATCTAGAATTATATTTTGCGTAGAATTTTCAATTTCTTTCTTATCTATGAAAATCTGTAAATCATTTCGAGTAATTTTATTTGGTACAAACCAAGGGGCCCGTATTATACTGCGTATGACTTTCGACTGAAATCTTTTCAGGATTTCGATATTCGAGTTAGAAGCAGCACCCCATAGTTGAATACCACATGTCCAGACTAGTTTACATACAGCTTTATATAGCAGTAGTTTATTTCCAATTAACAGCTCCTATTTTGTTCCGATGAGACAGTACATTTTTCTCTATTTTTGACCCAACTATTCATATTTAGTAAATATATGTTCTTTCCATGTAAGTCTTCGGTCGAGGTAAATTTCTAGATATTCTACTTGATTTTTTTGCAGAATATATATATATCGCTTAAGATAATAGGAGGACAGGTATCTTTTTGAAGTGTGAATGTCGTATAAAAAAATTGTTGTATCATCTGCATATGTTGCTATCAAGATATTAATAGACTTTGCAAGGACCGAGGTATATAGCATATATAGTGTGGAACCCAGAACATTGCCCTGTGGTACTCCTACTTCTGTTAACTGAAGCTTTAATACGTTTTTATTTATTTTAACTTGAGACTAACAAAAATATCTCTTGAGTTTATGAAGTAACCCTTTTTGCTAAACCTTTTCAAAAGTCTGGGCAATATTCAGGAATATACCAGTGTGTTATTGTTTATCTTCGATGGCTTTCCTCGCAACAGATACTGTTCTTTATACTTCCTCAATCGTGGAATGGTTCCCACCTGAAACCGAATTGATGGTCAAGGATAAGTTTTCTGTTTATTATTATTGGGTTAATTCTTGCTTGAATTAGTTTTTCAAAGATTTTAAAAAGTGCTGATAAAAGGCTAAGTTATTTAAACAAATTACCCAAGCAGTCACTATTTTTGAAAACTAATGGCGGCAATCGATTCTACGGGAAAAATTATGAACGAAATGTATTTATCACTTTTTCATCAGACTTTAAATTGTTCGTGTAAAATAGCAATAAACAATGGCAGGCCAAACAACTAAGGTGACTACACGCTAAATCCCAAGCGAAATGTATGCTTAATAGCGACAAACTAACTACACCATTCATAGCATATCGGAAAAAAAGTTACCCGTATTTTTTCTTTTAATATTTGCAATTGTTTATAAAAAGTTATTTAAACAAGTTACCCAAGAAGTCACTATTTTTAAAAACTAATGACGGCAATCGATTCTACGGCAAAAATTATGAAAGAAATGTGTTTGAGCCGCTTATTTTGAAAGTGGCCTAACTCCATTCATCTTCAAATCGAGATATTGAAAGTTTAGGCCATTTTCAAACTACACGGCTCAGTTATTCAATTAAGAAGATCACGAACAGCAACAAATGAAGAAAAATCTATAGATGTTTTACTGTCTTATGTGGAAAATCCACATTAATCATCTCGATCAGTAGCTTTACAACAGGAGGACGATCAAAAATCTGTTCTTGAAATTTTAAAGGTAAACAAGTTTCATCCTTATAAAATGAAATTTGTGCAGGAATTGAATGAGGGTGATTCTGATCATCGAGTACAATTTAGTGAGAATGATGCAAATGATTACTGAAAATCCAATATTTTTACAAAATATTGTTTTGTCAGACGAAACGACATTTCAATTAAATGACGAAGTCAATCGTCATAACTTTAGATATTGATCCAACACAAATCCTCATTGGATGAGAGAAAGTCACACTCAATATCCTAAAAAATTAAACATGTGGGCAGGAATAGTAGGTGATACAATTATAGGTCCCTTTTTTATCGAAGGAAATTCGAACGCTGTAAATTATGAACAACTTTTGCGAAATAAAATTATTCCTGCTATCCAGGCCTTAAGAGGTGATGATTTTGAAAATACATGGTTTCAGCAAGATGGTGCTCCAGCTCATTACGGTGTAAATGTCAGACAATACCTCAATGAAACATTTTTGATAGATGGATAGGTAGAAGATGTACAGTAGAGTCGGCTCCAAGATCTCTAGATTTAAGCTCCTTGAACTATTTTTTGTAGGGGTATTTAAAAGATTGGATATACAGAAGTAATTCACAAAAGAACTCATTTTTTAGAATACAGGTGTGTGCAGAGCGCGAGGCGCAGGACATACGTCAAAGAATACGAGAGCTGGAAAACGGAATGCATGAAATGGCCAATGCAGCCCGTTCTTCACAACATGACTCGATTCAACCGTGCTCCAGACGTAATGTGAATTTTCAAGACACATTCACCTGTCACTACGATTCTGGGATTCCGGGAAGGACACCCGCTACTTCAAGACCCGTACCCAGGAGAAGGGACATCACCCCACCGGAAACCTAACAAGAAGAGGAGGTGAAGAGGATCCGGAGGAATACAGGAGATCCGCACCTGTTCGACAGAGGAGTCGAAGCGGATCGTCTAGCACCAGTCCTCAATTATCCTCAAGGCTCTCCACAACCCGTGATGTTGGAAAAATTGTCCTCGGATGGAAATTGAGGTTTGTGGGCAGTAGGGCACAGAGCGTGGACACGTTTCTGTCGAGGCTGGAAGATCTGCGCGTGGGCGCAGGGTTAACTGATGGCAAAGTACTTTGTTCCGTATCAGAGATCCTCGGAGTTAACGCGAGGACCTGGTATGATAACAATAAGTACCAGTAGCTCAGTTATGCCGAATTCGTTGCCGACGCCCGAGAATGGTTCGGCACAAGTACGCAACAGCAACAAAGGCTGTTACAGGAAGCTCAGAACCAATTCCAGGGTGTAAGTGAATTGGTGCGAGACTACGTGTCCAACCTGGTTGCTCTTGTCAATAGACTAGAACCACTAATGCCCTTAGAGAGGTTATTAGACCTGCTCCATTCAAACCTCCTTCCGAACATCCAAATTCAGCTGCGTCGGAGCGAGTTGACGTCGATACGCGAGTTTAACAGAAAGGCGACCGAAGTGCAAAACACTTTGTCTTACGGTCGTTGTCCATGCATATTCGCGGACCCCAACTCGACGATCTTGCCTCAGCACGCCTACCAGCCGAGCAAAAGAACGACGATAGTAAATCCCAAACCGCTGCAGTAGCCAACGAATGGAAGGCGCGTGCAAAGAAGGAGGGAGATCCGCAGTGCGGACAGGGCGTGAAGAACCCTGCCAGGATGCCTACCGAGCAAGCCTCGGTATCGGCTACGCAAACTTCCACTTCTGATAAGAAGATGGAGGAGCGTCTGGAGAGCATTGAACGAATCCTGCGCAAATTAGCCAAAGAAAGGCAGGACAGCCTTCCAGAACAGAGTAAAAGCGTGGGAAGACGGAAGAATTCTCCTTCTCCCAGGTCTCTCGGCGAGCGGCGAGAAAGGCAGAGGCGAAAGATTGAATTCACCAAGTCTCTCCAGTGTTCCGCTTGTGGCAAACTGGGATTTAGTCGTAAATTCTGCCCAAACTGCAACAAGGGAAACGGCAAGGAGAGCGAAGAGAAGAGGTCATCTTCGTGCCTTCAGTAAATTCGATCTCTCGCTGTGGGTCGTCGACTGGAAATAGCGAGTTGTCGACGACCCGGGCAAACAGGTCCTGGTAGGGCATAAAGAGAGCCCAGGACCTAGCGGTACATCGGAGCAGAAGGCGATCGAGCCCGATACCAGCCCTCGGCAAAATAGGGGAGTGGTCATCCTGGAAGGACTAGGTGGCCACATACAAGTTGTGGAGGGGGGAGAAGACTCGATTGTTACGAGGATAGAGCAACCCAAAGACCTGAAAGGTTCGGGCCCCTCCACACAAAAAACTTCTCTGCCGAAGGAATCCACGAATGGAAGCAAACCCATCGTCGTAGCGGCAACGGAAGGAAAGAAACTGCTGAGAAGCACGACGAATGGAGTAAAAGATGCGACTCGTCGATATAACTCAGAGGATAAGACCAGGTGGTGGTTGTGGGTAGACATAGGTGACTTTAAGATTAGAGCACTCTAAGATACCGGCGCCTAATCCACGGTCATGGGTCTGTTAGGGCTAAGATTGGCATCGGAGATGGGACTCTGATTGAATGTGACCAGGGCGGGCGATGAAAGTTTCACCGATGGGCGCCCATGCCCCATAATTGGTCACGTGATGTTCCCCTTAAAGATAGGGTGAATCGCAGGGAAAATTAGAGTCGCCATTACGCCACTGCTCACAGATAACTGCTACGTAGGCGCGAACTTTATAAGAGAGTTCCGCGCAGTTTTGGATCCCGATGAGGATGAGTTATGGCTGAAGGACGCTCAGGTAAAAGTACCGATGGAAGTGGCTGAAATTGATGGTACGGCATTTCTCTCGCCGGTAGGACTGTGGAAGGCAACGGAAACACAGCTTGAGGAAATAGAAGACCTCGTTAGAAGATTGATTCCTGACGGAGGTCAGGCTTTAGGCTGTGCCGTGGGTGATGCGCATGAAATAGATGTTGGAGGTGCTCGACCCATCAAACAGAAGTACTACCTAGTTTCTGACAGGGTGCGAGAGGAAACGTTCGCGCTGGTCAAGGATATGCTGGAAAAAGATGTAATCAAAGCAGCGACCAGCATATGGTTAATTGTGTGATAGAATACGCCAGCCGATCACTCAACAGCGCTGAGAGGAATTATCCCGTCTCCGATAAAGAGTGCTTGGCAGTGGTATGGGCCATTGGAAAGTTCCGGCCGTACATTGAAGGGCATCACTACAGGGTCATCACTGATCATAGTTGCCTCAAATAGCTCCATAGTATGAGCAATCCCACGGGAAGACTAGCGGGGTAGGTGCTAGCATTGCAAGGCAATGTCTTCGATATTGAATATCGAAGGGGAGATCTCAATGTGGTGCCGGACGCATTGTCTAGGGCCTATGAGGAGGAGGGGATTGAAGTGAGTGCCATAAATAGTCGGCCGGAGACCACTGACGCTTGGTATTTGCAACAATACCAGAAAGTATGCCAAGACCCACACTCACACCTCACTTGGAAGGTAGTGGGGGGGGGCTGTATCACTATCAGCCTGATGACGACGGTGAATGGTCCATCGACAATGATGAAGCGTGATAGCTTGCGCTGCCTAGGAAGAAAAGGCACCAGGTGCTCCAGGAGGTCCATGATGCTTCTACGGCAGGGCATCAAGGACGAGAGCGTATGTTCTCCAGGGTTAGGCGCTTGAACTACTGGCCTAAGATGTACGATCAGGTCAGGGAGAACGTAAAAAGTTGTCCGGTATGTCAGCAATGCAAGGTTGAACAAAGGACATCTTGCGGGCTGATGGGTCGTAGACAAGTGTCACGACCCAGGCAGATGATGGCCGGTGATATCACTGGTCCATTTCCCAAAAGCTCTCGTGGTTTAGAGTACGTCTTAGTCTTTATAAACTTATTTACTCGCTGGGTAGAGTGCGTTGCGATACGCAAAGCCAATGCGAGGACAATCGCAAAGCAATTGAACGAGAGGATTGTTACTAGGTTTGGCGCGCAAGAGGTATTTTTATCAGATAACGGAACCGAGTTCAAGAATCAGGAAGTCGATTCATACCTCCAGATGATCAGCATCCAGCGTGCCTTGACTCCTGTGTATCATCCCCAAGCGAATCCCACAGAGCGAGTAAATAGTACACTCAAAACCATGATCACGTCACATGTGAGCTGTGATCATAAGAGCTGGGACGAGCACCTGTGAGAGTTCAACTTCGCGTTCAACTCGGCAATTCATAGCGCCACCGGATATAATCTTGCCAGGCTCATCTTTGGGCGTCAGCCGGTACCTCCTTTGACGT